AGTTCTAAGTTCTCTATTAGTTCTTTAATAAATATAATCTTTTGGCTTTAAAAATAAACTTCTCTAATGAACTGCTATAGTGATATAATATTCTACTTTGACACCGTTGGGAGTTCCTCTTCTATGTCTTATATAACTTGGGGTGTATTAAGAAGGCTATACCACTTGTAACAATATCAATATCAAACTATATATAATATTAATACTATATAGTATATTAGCTACTTATATAAAAGTAATATGTACTCAACCAGAAGTAACTATAATACTAGTGATATTAAATAGCAAGATCCTAATGATGCATATATTTGCCAAGATAGTGATTTTAATTTAAAGACTAATGATACTAAGGTACCTTCAACTTCTGTATCAGACAATAAAAATGATAATAACAATAATTATAAATTTTTTTTAATTATAATATATTTTATAAAGCTGAGAAGCTATATATACTTTTGAAAATAATGATAATGTCAATATTAATACTAATGAAGATGAAGAAATTACTACTAGTAGCTCAGATTTTTTATTTGCAAATCAAGTAGAAAGTGCTGATACTAATTTATAAATAGATGACTATATAATACAGGATATTTCATATGAAGATTTAGTTTCATATATTATTCTTAATATTCATGATAGAGAAATTTAGCATTGTTCTAATTATGAACATCCTAATTACATATTAAGACCTCTTTATTAACTTGCTAGAACCTAGAAGATTAATGAATCTGTTATTAATAAAAACAATTCTCAGAGTATAATACATATTTTGAGTATATATTCATCATATTATACATTTGCCTAAAATCATTTATATAATAAAATAACAAAACATAAATGATTAGTAGATATGAATTATATTCATTTAAGGAGGTATTTGTTTTGTAATAAGAATCAATATTTCTTTAACTATATGATGAATTACAAAGAATATTGCATATATTAATAGATGTAATGTACAAATTCCTTATATTAGTTATAAGGTATGTCTAGTATTTTTTAGTAAAAAAAAACAATTAGTTGAGCCAGCAACTACAAATACATCAGTAAGATTTATTTGCTCAAAATCTTTTTAAAAAGAAAGTAAGCATTTGTTTTAACGAAGGAAAAGTAGTATTAAGAGTTATTCTTATTATGATCAATATACAAATAATAATAAAAAGATACTTTCTTTACTCAAAAGATGGTTAATTGATATTGCATAGTCTTAAAATGAAAAACTAAAGTGATATATTTTAAAAAAAATCTTATTATCTTTTATTAAAACTTTTCAAATTTTTTAGCAAATAATTAAAGATGATAATAATAGTATTAAGTATGATGGTAATAGTATTAAAAATAATAACAATAGTATGATACATAATAACAATAATACTAAATATAATAAGAATAGTGATAATAATTAAAATAATATAAATGAAGTAGTACCTAGTTTATTAGCTATCAAAATAGCTATGTAACTTGAAAAAATAAAGATTAAAAAATTAGAAAAAAATATTCAACTAACAAATAATTTAATATATAATGATCAAAGCAAAAAAATTAGTAAAATTTTTGATCAAACTATATAGAATTCATATTCAAATTTATTATAAAATAAGAAAATACTTGAATTACCAAAATTATTTGATCAATATTAAAATAGTTTTCTACAATTTTTAAGAAATTTTTTTAAAAGCCTAATATTATTTATATAAAAAAAAAGTATCAGATTTGTATAAAGAAACAAAAACAAAGAAAAATTGAGCCTGTACAATTTAATACTAGATGATCACTTAAAATATCAGTTTTTATTATCTCTATGATTTTTATAGTTGCTTTTTTAAGTATCAATATTTGGCTTATGCATATTTTAAATTCATTATACAGAAAGCCAAAACTTTTAATATCATTATACTTAATATTATATATAGCAAATATTGTATTATATTCTCAATATCATAAAAGACAACTTGAAAAAAGCTAACAAAATAACTCAAAACCAGAAGCATGATTACTTGAAGGTAGCAATATTTGAAGTATATATATAATAGACAATATTGATTTTAAACAACAATCTTTTACTTTTAGAAATATCTATAATATTACAAATATAACTAAATATGCATGTTTGCATATAGTTTTTCAGTTTAGATTGCTAGTTTCTCTTGATTAAATTTTTTTAGAAGTATTACAAAAAAAATTATTAACAGAAATTGGTATGTCAGATTTTACAAGAGAGAAGATTATAAATTTTGACCAAATTTTTCATAAGTTATTAATGTTTGATGAAGTTGAAGTTGATATTAATAAAGTATATAGACAATTTTATATAAAACTCTTTCCAACAATCCTTTTTCCCAAAAATTCAGAAAAGCAAAAAAACAAAAATTTTATTGTAGACGATGAAGAAGGTTCTTTTACAATACAATAGTTTTTATAGAAGTCAACTAGACTTGCTACTAGGGACTCTTTTATATATTTAACATGCAAGCTATAAGCGATATTATACAAGATAACTAGCAGGTGGAGCCCTTGTATAAAAAATTTTAGTAAAGAGACAAAAAAGAGCTCTTTGTTAATGAAGTTGGTAAAAGAAGACTTAAGAATAGGAGACAATAAACTATTTTGTCTACATACTTCTTTGAGCCTCAGAAAACAATATTCTACTACAAGCTTTTTCCTTCTGGTCTTACTTTTTTTTGACAAAAGTAGAGAATCTAGGTTTCTTTCTACAAAAGATTAGCATTGTTTACTCCTTCTATTTTCGGAAATACTCTGTGAATATGCAACCTCATGCAGTAAACAAAGTCACATACTTTGTTTGTTATTGTATCTATAACATAACCTTGATGCTATAGGATTTAATTTTCTAAAATAGACTTTATGTTAGAAAGAGAACTATTCGAGATAGGTTATAAGTTGTACAACTTAAAATTTTTAAGCCTGACCCAGATTATAAGGTACTTGGTTATCTTTTTTTCTTTTTCTGTTTTTTTGTTCTATATTAGTTTTCTTTATCTGTAGCAGGTTTTTCTAGTATAGACTTCATTATAGACTGTGACTACTTAGGTCTATACAATTTTTAATCTTTTATATCTTGAGACTAGGTACTAACTTCTTTTTACTTAGTTTCAACTAGGTAGAAAGGGACTTAGGATCTTGATATATAGCTAGGAGTTGCCTTTGTAAATCGATTTCTGAGTATTTGTATATACAGACTAAAGTTTATGTGAGAAAATGGCTCCTGCAGCAGATTGAACTTAGGCATCTTCGAGGTAGCTGAGTTAGTCCAGATTAGTCTAGGGAAAACAAATTAGTATAGTTTTATATTAGATTGTTTTTTGCTTATTGTAAGCTTTTTCTTAATAAATGATGGACAAGATTGCTCAAGATATAAAAAAAATAAAAAAAAAATTAATAAAGTATATAGAGAATTAATAGCTAATATAAATATAGAATTGAAATATAAGATATCTGTACTAAATATTATTATTTTGAAACTAGGTAATAATTTATATTCAAATAAAAAAGTTTATAATATCTGTAACATGTTTTTTAATGATGTAGAAAGAAAAGCTAGCAGATATGGTAAAATTAATATTGTTGCAGATAAAGCTATTTTTTGATACTTAATTTTTATAATAAAACCTATTTAAATGTAGAACTTCTTTTAGATACTTAACATACAAATAAAGAAATATATTAAACTTTAATTATAATTTTTTCTAGCTATAGAATTTTTGATTTAGTTACAGAACTTGGAGTTTAGTATTTAGACAAATTAAAAAAAGTAGTCAATTATTCTGTAACATATCATATATTAGAGCTTATTTGAGTTGCAGTTGGTTTTGCATTAAGTGAATTTGCACAAAAAACTAATAGTAACTTTATAGCGATAAAAAATAGTAATAATAAATTAATAAAAATCTAACTTTTTTATTTTGAATAAGGTAGTTATTAGATAGGTTACAAAATTTAGAAATTACCAAATGCAAATTCAAAACTTAGCTATACTTGCACTACTTTTTGCAGTAGCAGGTAAAAATAATTATGAACGATTAGTTGTTCATTTTTATATTATTTATTAGAAGATCCAGAATTATGTTTATTATTGCAATATATTTTATCAGTAAATCTAACAAGAGAAGGATATTATTTTGCTCATGATGAAGCTATTAAACATTTTGGTATTAAATATACTAAAGAAAATATTAGGTACTATCTAGGTGATGAAGATTAATTAAAGTTACAAATAAGTTTAATACAAAGTGAAAGAGAATGTCTAGACTTAGCATTGCATGAATATGTTGAATAAAACATTATAATTCCTAGAGATCATATACTAATATCTAGAAATAATATAATACATAGTTTAAAATATAAACTAATTAAAGTATTTACATAAAATTGAGTATACATAAACTTTTTAAACATATATCAGAATATACTAAAGAAGAATTTAATAATTTATTTACTTCTTATAATATCAGTCTTGAAAGATTAAAAATTATTCATTCTCAAGAAATTACTAAAGAATTGCCTTATGATACTAAGTGACACAGACAAAAAAACATAAGAACTAACACAATTTCTCAGCAAAAAAAAGCAGAACAAGAATGCAAACATACTGAAAAATTACTATATTTACTTAAAAAAAAATCTAAATTTAATTTTGATATTCTTTCTTGTGAACTAAACTGTGACATTAATAAAAAAGTAGATAATAACAATGATATTTGTGATAAAATTATTACTTTGGAAAAAAAGAAAATAAAGATATTTAACAAAATCTAAAAATAAAATATTCGATGCTTTAATTAAATCTGATACTTTATCATATAAAAAAATGTCAAAACTATTAATACAGATATGTACACTGCCTGATACTAAATCTGAGGATTGGGATTTAAAAAGGATTTGAGATATTTGGCTTAGAAAATGGTCAGCAAAGAAAAAAAATCAATACCAATATTAATAACAATACTAATAATAATACTATAATATTATTTATAAAAACTATCAAGTTTTTATAAATTATAAGTCGAAGTGTCGAGTAGACTAAGTTTTATATTG